ATATATATATATATATATATATATATATATGTGTGTGTGTGTGTGACCTAGAGAGAGCAGGTTAAGTGAATTGAAAGTATAGTTCAGTCAAAAAAAAGTTAGAAAACGTGAAGTTGGCAGGCATGCGAGTCATTAGGCATAATGGATGGTATTTTAAAGTGAGTTTAACAGAGAAAGGAGAATAATTTGTCTTTTCAAATGGTATTCTAAAGTAATAGAACCTTTCTGTGTGGACTTTGATGAAAAGGAGACAATTATTTAAAGTTCCAGATAGAACTGTGGTAACGTAAGTCTATTTATCACTGACACTATTGTGATAAGAATAGAAAAGAAATAATTTATCTTGTACATTGGATTCTAAAATAACTGAACTCGCCTGTGTGGACTTTTGGCAAGAAAAAATAATTATTTGAAACTTTAGATATAACTGTGATATTCTATATGGTGAAGAATTTTTGTAAATATGTGTGACTTGTTTTGAATATATTATTTTAAAACAAGTGGATTGTGTGCTGTCCGTTTATTGTTCAAATTTATCGCCAACAAGTCACAGACGCCTACTGTAAAAGACTCCTAGCCCTATATACATAAAACCTTGACAACTGACTTTCTAACTATGGTTTAAGATAATTACCTAAGCTTCTTGATATGAACACTACAATAGCAACTTTCAAACTGAAAATAAAATATTCAGTACAGTGTACCAGAAATAATGTAATATAAAATGTCATTTGGTTGATTGAAACTTTGTATTGATTATGAATGATGTAACATAAAACGTTAAAGAGAATTATTGGGTGTTTGTGAAACAGAGACTGTGACAGGTGGGTGTGGTAAATAAATGCCACGATTTTGATAAAAGGGGAGATTGGGATTTACTTACAAAATTACCTTTAAAATTAAGAAATTAAAACTTGTATAATATTGAACTTTGATTTATTAACTACATTTTGATGCCAAGCTTATTTGTATACATTGATAATAAAGTAGTTTAATTATATTTTGAATGTCGTTCTGTAAAAGGTCATGACATGCAAACTTTGACCTATCTGGAGCAAGAGGGTTAAATGGTTTAATCAAGTTCATATATTTTTTTAAGCTTAAATGTTGGTGATGTTGGCTCTGAATGCTTCAGAAATCTATACAGACATTTCAGAACGATTTTAATATTTCAACTGTCATATTAATGTCACTCACATAGGGAGCTAAGAGAGAGCACAAATAAAAACATGGTCATGAGTTCCCTGTAAAAATAATAAAACAAATATTAGGAAAAAAACTAATTACATTAACTCTACAATGCAAGGCTGGATGCGCTCTGCAAAAGGCATGCTTCATCATTTTTATGTCATTTAAATTATGATAGGAAAAAAAAATGTTTCTCGTGAAACAAAAGCAGGTTGAGAATTGTTGAAACTTTATACAGTCAAGTGCAAAATTAGCTTAAGTTAGATAATTTTGCACATAGCCATATAAAGTTTTATTTTGCTGACATTAGTGATTGTTAGAAAAAACTTATAACAGGTGCAGTGTTTTTTTTAATTCAAACAAAGACAAAATTGATGGTTTTCTAAGAAGGCATAAAAATGACAAATTGCAATCTACAAAATAGGTAAGCATAAATGTTTCTTTAAGATATTTTAGAATTTCCAAACGTAAGAATTATAAATACCACATATGAAAAGGGGATATTTTATTTTATAGAAACTACATAATCTTTAGAAAGTTTGTATGGAGCTTCAAATAGTTTTTTAAACACAATAAAACAAACCAAGTTGATGTACCCTGGCAAGTTAGAATTAAATGTTCTTGCACATTTTTCTAAACTTAATTTTTTCGTGTACCAGTATATAAAACGTTTTTTCTGCATGACAGTTATTGTCTAACAGAATGTTCCGAGTCATACTTCAATGATAAAACAGAACTTTGTTTCTTTAAAACTAATTTAAACAGAGTTACCTCACCTTGTATCTTAATTTGTGTTTTACTTCAATGTTTTACTCTTAAAACATGATTACGTGTATTAACCTTGCACAGAATAACCTCACCTTGTATCTTAATTTGTGTTTTACTTCAATGTTTTACTCTCAAAACATGATTACGTGTATTAACCTTGCACAGAATAACCTCACCTTGTATCTTAATTTGTGTTTTACTTCAATGTTTCTTAATGCAGATCACGACAACGGTCCAGAAGCAGATCTCGGGAATACAAGCATTCCCATCATTCTAATGTTCAGTCTAAGGACAAGAAAACAGAGTCTAAGCATAGGGACAGGGGAAGATCAGAAAGGGACTCCAAGTACCAGAGACATAGTAGAGACAGTCCCGAAGGTTGTAGAAGTGATTCGTGTAATGATACTGGTAAGTCTGAGGTAGTGTATTTAACTCTCTCTACTTAGGCTCAGTCAAATTGATGACCGTGTGGCAACATTATACCCATTTAAAGTTGTTATAGTTTTGATACTACTGTTGCGTATCTGCTTGTTTGATAATTTCCGGTATAAATTCTTTCCGAGGAACTTCAGCGATACAAGTCCCTTCTTGTTTAAAACTAGCTTATTCTTTCTCGATACAAACTTTTTGTAATACACAGAATTTCCACAGTCACTTTTAACTTAACAACCTTTATAACACATGCTGTAAATCACAGTGATTCACACAATTTACTTACGGTACCTAATGTTCGCTTGACTCAATTATCTCTATCTGCATATCTGCCTCTCGCTGGCTTTATTTGGCAGGCTTATATACTAAAAAAGAGAGCGCCTGGCAAACATTCGGACATTTGCTAGGTTTCTCGATAAGTCATGCTCCTTCTAGAAAGTCCAGCGCACATGCTCCCAGCATTGTGTGACTTCCACTGTCATAACACAGCCCCTTCCTTAGTATTGTTTATCCTGAACAATAGCCACTTACATTAAACTAATAGATAATTAACAATAACTTAATTAAACGTACAGAATTTACAAACACAAAATTAAAATTCAACAAAGTCTCTTAATTTTACGGGACATATCTTCTTCTGTACTGGTCTCCGTCTCGTTGGCTTCTGCTTCACGTGAGGTTCACCTGCTTCATTAGGAAATGTCCTATTATTGGTAACAGTCACATCAGTGGTAGTAACTTCATCAAGGGCTTCACTGTTACCCTTCTCAAAACCGGGTAGAGTTTCTTCTTTGACAGCGGCTTTATCAGGTGACACGTCTTCAGCAGCGTCATTTGTTCTGTTGTTCACTTCGTTCCAACTGAAATATCCTGGACCGTGATAACGCTAAAGCCTGTTGGCATGCGCCAACTTTGGCTTACCTCGCCGACCACATTTTATTCGGAAAGTCACGTCTGAGAGGCGATCCACTATGTCATCTGGGCCTTCCCATGGAGAAGACAACTTAGGAGACTTCCCTTTGGTCTTCCTGGGATTATACAACCACACCTTGTCTCCTGGTAGAAAGCTGACTTCAGTAGATCTCTTATCATAACATAACTTCATGAAATCAGTAGACATTTTCAAGTTTGAATGCACTTGATGGTGAATATCATCCATCCTTTCAGATAACACTTTTACGAACTCTGACACATTTTCAGGCAACTC